AAAAGTATATTTGGGGGAACTGACTGAACAGAACAAAAATGAAAAGGTTAAAATACACTTTCTGGAGTTTGAAGCTCCATGGGAGAGGACTGAGAAAGGAGAGAGCTAAAAACAAACAGATTTCTGCTTATCTTTGTGCTGAGCATTGAATATCTTGTAAGATACATCAGCTCCCTTAACTCAGTTTTGTAAAGCAACAGCATAATACTGACTGCAAACGTTAATCTGCTATGCAGAATTTTCTGTTCAGTAAAAAGTAAGCATTTTTTGAAAATATGATGGAAAGCACATTTGGTGTCCTTAGCCCTCAAGAAATACATGAACAGTTTTACATTTTCTAATTACTTTTGACTAAACAAGCACAGTTCTTGATTCAGTAATACAGAAACAAAGGAAAGAGGAAACAGGCTCAGGATCACGACAATACTTAAATCAACACTGAACTGCATATTTGCACCTCTCTGCCATGCCTACATTATTTTCTGTTCCTAATACACCATAAGAAGCACTTATACAGTAAGAAAGCTAAACTGAAGTAACAGGATAAAATCAGCCAAAGCAGAAAGGGCAGTGATAGTTCTTCCTTGAAGACACCAGTAGTAAGTTCAGGTATTTTACTGCCCAGAGCTATTTTCATCTTAGCCTTCATTAAACTAAACATGACAGCACTTCTGAAGTTTCATAAATCCTCTGCACACATCTCTTAGCCATCACAGCTTCTTCCTGCTTGCACTCTTATTTTTCTGAGGCAGTTTACCACCATGGGCTAGTTCTGGAGAGTTTAGAGAAGCAATGAAACACTGACAATGTTATTTAGACACTGCTAACACTCACTTCTTCCATCCACTAGTCTAAATATCACCTTGTGCAACTGAAGTTCACTAAACACAGAAAAAGTTCTTCAGTAAACTTTCAAGAACTGGTCTACTGCATGCACAAAAGCCTGCAAGTGAAAATTAGATTTCAACTGAAAAATAATTACCTTATGACAAAGCACTTCAAAGGATTTGAGGGAATAATGACCAGATTCTATGAGTGATTTTAATGCAGACTGTTTGATTTTCTGCAAGACAGTCAGGTAATCTCTGCTTCAAAAATTACTGTTTAATTCTGCCCATGTTAAGAGACTTGTGGTTCGACCCTCAGTGATGGCATGGCCTAAGAGACCTGGGCTTTGGGGAAGACTGTGTGTGTCCGGTGAAGAAACTCCTTCATGTAGGAATACAATGCAGACTCGCACAAAGCCATGATACAGGCCAGTGAGCAGACCTGAGCTGAGCTTCTATCCCTGGGTCTGTTTTTAGAAAAACAAAAAGATGATCAGTAACTACTATGAGTAAGATAATCCAAAACTAAAATCCTGACAAAAAGAGAGTTGGAACATGACTAGCACGTCACCCATCAGAAGTCAGCTGTTTTAAGCAGCCACAAGAACAGCAGGTGATCTCCCTCACACAAGACCGTCAAGACAGCAAATCAACTACAGAAAGGTAACCTTTTCCCCCTTCAGTGCTGTGGACTCATTGCTGAAATGTTTGTGTAAACATCAAATTAATACTCTGTAATGCATTCCAATGATGGCCTGACCTCTTCCAGGAGGCACAGGTTTAACAGCTGTACAGTTTATGCGGTAAAGTTTCAGTTGTGGGAGAGTTGCAGGGGGGCTTCTGTGAGCACAGCCCAGCAGTGCCCCATGTCAGAACAGAGCTCCACTGCTCCAAAGATATGCAGTGATGCCAGACCCGAGCCCTGGGCAATGCTGGGTGTGCTTCAGGAGAGCAGACGTAAGAGGGGGAAACTTCTGCACAACAGCATCTGAGAGACAGATGTGAGAAACTGAAAAGAAATGGCCTTGCAGGCAGCCGGGTCAGTGCAGGAAGAAGGCAGGAGCAGCTCCAGGTGCGGAGCAGCAGCCCCCTGCAGCCCAGGAGACACCTGTGAACGAGTAGGTTGTTCCTCTGCAGCTCATGGGCACCACGTGGAGCAGATTTCCTCATGCAGCCACAGAGGAGCCCACAGTGTAGAAGAGATGAGGCCTGGAGGATACACAGCCCATGGACAACCCCACGTGAGCACCTGGGCCAGAGCTGCAGCCCGCAGTGAAGCAAGAGGTCTTGTGGGAACTGAAGAATGGTGAGGGACCCAGGCAGGATCAGTTCACGAAGAACTGTGCTCTATGGGAAGGACCCCACAATGGAGCAGGACAGAGTGAGGAGGAAGGAGTGGCAGAGATGAAGCACTGGGGACTGACTGCAATCTCTATTCCCCATCTCACTGTGCAGCTCAGAGGGATAGGATGAAGTAGCTGAATCACGAATGAAGCTGAACCTGGGAAGAAGGGGTTGAATGGGTTACCAGGAGCAAGCTGACTTTAGGTTTCTTTTGTTTTTAAACTTCCCATTATTCTACTCTGTTACTAACTGGCAATTAATTAAATTAATCACCTTCACAAAGTCAAGCCTGTTTTTTCCATGATGACAATGAGTGTAACTGGTGATCTCCCTGTCTGCAGCTCAACCCATGATTTTTCATCTTTTTTTCTCCTGTCTTGTCTCATAGAGTGAAAGTAGTGTGGGAGGCACTTGGTGACCAGCCTGAGTTAACCTACCACCACAGCAAAAGACACATTCATGTTTTCAGATGAAAACTGTTTCCTGCCCAGTGTTACGAAGCAAATCTCACTTAGTATTGCCATTTCACAGCTTTTCAGTTGTCATTTCAAAAGCGAATATAAGCAAGGAATAAAGAAACCACCCTAGCCAGTGCTTTGTGCATTAGGTCCAAGAGCACAGGGGACAGGAGTCAGCAGCACCCTAACTGCAGTACCAGATCAAGGCAGTGGAAAGAAAAAGTGTGATCACTTCAGTAACTCAGCTTTATCTTCCTGTGGCTTGGCCCTGCGTCAGGATAAGAGGGGCAATCACCAAATGGCATTATCATTCTTTTGCATAGTCATACTTGGCAGCAGACTGAGAACCATCTCAAGAGATAGCCCAGACATCCTAGTATGTTGCTCCCAGACTGACCCACAACCCCTCCAGGTCTCCTTGCTGGACTGCTGGCTCTGTGAGCAGAGCAGTGAATACAGGAAATGTAAAACACCAGCTCTGCGCTTGGGAAAGACACCTATCTTATCAGCAGACTACTGAAAAGGGTAGTATCTCTCTCCACAGGCTGCCACTGAAAAGTCCTACATGTTGCAGTGTGGTTCACAAATTAGTTTATTATTCCAGATTATAATTTACTCCTAAAACTGTTTCCACATTAATAAAATACACAAAGAGAAAACATTAACTGAGCGTGACTTGAAAAGCCAGAACAGGCATTGCATTCATGTGCATGCTGTTCAGACTTTTTTTTTTAAACTTACTTTAATTACAATTTATAGGCAAAGTCAAGGGCAAGTGCACCCATTAATTAAAAGAACAAAACAAAACAAAACACCAACACTGCAGATGTAATTTCTCACTAAAATGCACTGAAAACTGCCTTCCTGCTGCCTGAAGGATAAACATTCTACAGAAAGACAAACTCAAAATTTTCAAGGTCTGGAAGGAAAAAGAAAAAAAAAAAAGGATAGGAAACAAGCCACTATTCATATCTGATTTGCTGCTGCCTGCCTCCACAGCACTAGGAGCTTTATTATCAGTTTCACTGCAGTTGCATATGGGCAGATTTAAAATCTAATACCGAACTAATAAAAAAAAAAGTGTAAAACTCTATGTTCAGAAAGGAATTAAAGAAATTTGACAGTAGCCTAACTCAAGCATGAGACAGTACACCAGTGTAAATCCCATGCAACTACTTAGAGGTTTTGCTGCCTTAATACCCATATTTTCACTTTCATTGGGGGAAAAAACTCTTTCGGGGAGGACAAAAATTGGGGGAAAAAAAAACTTTTAAACCTATAAACCACCTAACAAAAAGAGCAATTCCTGGTCTGTAAACTCCAAAATTAGTGCCCATCAATGACAGTATTCAGAAAAGCCTCACTCAGCTAGGCACACTGTAGCCATAAGACAGTTTTAAACTTGTAGAAGTCTAACACTAAGCCTCCCACCTATACAACAAAAAGGGGAAGGAAAAGCAATATGGTTTCAATTGCCCCAAAGGCAATGGCCAGGTAACACATTTTTTAGAGCGACTGACTGTACTCAAGAGTTAGATAAAAGCCAATGCTGTTTCCAGCATCACGTTACAGCTGGTACAGACTTCCATTTTGTGAATGCAGTCAGCCACACATAAGGTTTTGTTTAGTACAGTTCTTTGCAGCACACTCTGCTGACATCTCACCTAACAGGAAACCCGTTTTGCTCCAATAGCGTAACAACACAATGCCAATGAGAAGCACCGACTACTTTTATGGACAGAAGGTCTAAGGAGGTTTTCCTCAGCTATCCTTCGAAAACTAAGGCATTTCCTAAGGGGAGCTCTGGAGCTTTCTTATGTATGGTCTATGCGGTAGGTAGAAGCATCCCCCCCTGCACGCTCTGCCCACTGACACATGGCGCTTTGCAACGCGCACACGCGCCGACACCACAGCGGTGCCCTGTGCGTAACGGGGACCGCACTACTAAAAATACCCTCGTGGTTTTCAGCGGACGCTGCCGCAGCCGCGGCGCTCCCTCCCGCTGGGCGCAGCAGCTCAGCAGCGATCGGTCCAACCTCACTGCAGACACAGCCCAAAGCCGAAGTGGAAACACGGCACTGTGGGGCGGGCCGTTTTAGGGTTGTGACAACCGCCAGCTGCGGCTCATTACGCGGCATCTGCCACGGGGACCAAAGCTCGTTCCCGGATCTACACCGGCGTCCGTTCAAGTCAACGGGGAGGAGAAACGGCAGGCAGCAGCGGGGCTTTGGGCCACGGTCTTCCAGCACCGCGCCACGACCTGGAGCAGTGCCGCAGCGATACCCGCGGTGACAGGATACCTCCCCAATGCCCACTCGGCCGCGTCCTCCCCCAGCCCCCCCACTCCCCGCCACCCGATCCCGGCACTCACGACACGTAGGCAGGATAGCCGAAGCCGATGATGTTGCAGAGCAGCGAGGCGCCGTAGCCGATCACCAGGTACACGGCCACCGCCCCCAGGACAGCTGCGGGGAGAGAACACGGAGCGGTTACCGGCGGCGAGGTGCCGCGGGGAGCGCCGGGCGGCGCGGCCCTCACCTGCGGCGCTGAAGGGGTACATGGCACGGCCCAGGACGGGCGGCGAAGCCGGGGAAGCAGGGAAAAGAGCGGGCAGGGCGCGGCCGAGCCCGCCGACGGACGCCGCTCCGCCCGCCGCCCCCGCGGCCACCCGCGAGGCCCCCGGCCCAGCCCCTGCTTCGGGACGGCCCCCGCTAACCGATGGCGATGTAGGTGCGGTCGACGCCGGTCTTGCTCTCGATCCGCTCGAGTACGGCGGTCATGCAGTTCTTCTCGTGCAGGAAGCGGTCGAAGCGCTGTCTCATGGCCGCCGTCATGGTGAAGCGCCGGACTGCTGCTCCCTCAGCTAGCAAAGCCACCCACGGCCTTCGCGTCTGGCACCGCCCGGACACGAAGCCGCCCCCTCGGCCCGCCCCCAGCTCCGGGAGGCGGGGAGCCATCTTCCGCCAAGCCGCGCCCGGCCGGGAAATGGAGGAGGGGGGTACCCGCGCTGAGGGCGGGTGTGGAGAGCCGCGGCCGGTTGCTGCTGGTACTACGGTGCGGGTGGGTGCGGCACGGCGATGCTGGCTGGCCTGCATCTCCAGTCCCTAAAAGAGTGTGAGAGGAGCTACTAGGGTTGTTTTTTGTTTTTTTTTTTTTTTTAAATTATGCCTTGTCGGTGACTATAGGTGTTAAACGATGAGGAAAAGTCGGGCTCAGAACGTGGGGGCTGAAGAAAGATTATAGCAGCGTGATTCCACTGCTACCTGACAACACGGCAGTCTGAACTCTTGGCTGTAATTGTACCTGGTAGTTGATGGTGCGCCTAACATACTTACCAACTAAATATAATTCACAGAGCATGATGTCGTCTTAGGAGCTTCCTCAACTGTGCTGACTTCCCAGCAATTCTCTGTCTGACTCAGCGCTGCAGTGAGTAATGTAGACTGTGCCTGCTTCAAATCAGTGTTGTTCCCAGGCAAGCTGGAAAGTACTATTTTGTCTTAGAAAGTGGTGTGGTTTTTTTTTTAACTCCTATCTTCACCCAAGGGGAAAAATAAATAAATAAAAAAACAGTGTAAGTTGCACATTCTCCTTTTATTCTGTCCTTGTTCTGGGAGAGTGCATCTTGCAAGAAACTGAAAGAAGAGATATTTAAAAAAAAAAAAAAAAAAAAAAAAAAAAA